GCTTGGTTAAAAAAAGAAAAAGGAGAAGAAACCTTAGCTTTCCTCAGCACCCTTCCTTTTTCCTCAGAGCCCATTTATGACGTCATCTACTCTCATGTTTTTACAGGGCTCTGTAACAGATGATAGTGTGCTTAGAGCAATCTCTGTAAGACTCTGGGAGGTCATTACTGTCTTCATTTGGACTCTTTATAATTCTTAAGACACCCCCCCCAGGCACATTTAAACTTAGAAAACTCAGACCTTGTCTGATATTACCCTTTATTCCATATTTATTTTCTGATGAGAGTGATATTTTTCTCTGACTGATAGTTTTTCAGTCACCAGCCTTTGAAGTAACCTTAGAGACCATCTAAATTCTTATCCATATTCTCATTTCTATTGTTGAGAAACCCAAAGGCCTGGTGAGTCAAGCAGTTTGCCCCAAGTCATTTCATTATTTAGTACTAATGACTAGAATCTTTGTCTTCAAAGGCCTAATTCTCTAGCTGTGCTTTTAATTCCCTTCTTTATTTCTCTACAGAAAGTCATCTAGCACAACAAAGACAATGTATACTCACAAGGCATTGCATCATTTTGCCCTCATTCATTCACCAAATATTTATTGAACATCTATATTAGCAAGGCACTGTACTGGTATACAATTATTTCACATAAACAGCACAATTGATTCATTCATTCATGAGAGACACTGAGAGAGAGAAAGACGTAGAGACGTTTAGGCAGAGAGAGAAGCAGACTCCCTGAGGGGAGCCCGATGCGAGACTCGATCCCATGACCCTAGAATCATGACCTGAACCAAAGGCAGCAGCTCAACCACTGAGCCCCCCAGGTTCCCCAAACACCCTGATTTAAATGTAAATCAAATAGGATTAATTTCTGTTAACATGTTTATACATTTTAAGTTCTTTTCCTAAAAACTGAAAAAGTTAAAAACAAAAAAAAATTGTAGTTCTATTATATACAGAGTGTCACTCTAGGAAGGATAAGGAGAATGCCATCTGTTTATTACATCGAATTATAGATTTCTTGTGTTTTACGTAAATGTTTTGGTACAATAAGAGACAAGTTAAGTTTTAGTGTCTGTAACAAAAAAATTTAGTGGGAATTAAGGCCATTCTCAGAACAGCTACAAGGTGGAGAAGAGGTTGGAAAATGATATTTAGAGGGAAATTGCCAAAATGTTAATTCTCCCTGAGAACTAGGATCAGATTGTTTAGTTATTTAATTATTTTACAGGTAACTTATTTTGTATTATAGTTTGAAAGGATGGTCTGAAATTGCTCTTGACTTCATTAGAGAGACTACAGAAAGATGGAGGTCTTTTCTCAGCAGTCTCCTTATTAACTGCTCCCTTAGGGTTTAGCTGTCTGTGGTCATTTTAAATAGCAAGCATTGGAGACAATAACCAAGTTTGACAGTAATTGCAAAGGTGGAAGCGACGGTGCCCAAACCACAACCCAGGGTCAAACGGATCTTCATCTATTTGAAGATAAGAATCATGATGTGATGGTGAAAGAGCACGGGGTGAAGTCAGAAGTAGTCTGGGTACTCTCCCTAGCTCTAGTCCTTCGTCACCACGTGAAGTGGGCAGGCCACCTAACCTAGTGGAAACTCTCCTAACCTCTCAAGTATGGATGAAAACTTCTTTCCTTCCATGACATGGTGGTGTTTTGAGGATCAAATAAGATCACTGATATACAAGTGCTTTGAAAACTCAGAGACCTTTAGAAATAGAAGGCAGTTTTATTCTAAAACTCCAGAATTTTGACCAGTAACTGAAGTATACCTCAAAAGAAATATTTCCTTTCTTTTTTATATTTTGGGAGTCTACACGCATATTTTACTCTGTTGAGGGGATTTCTGTTACCCCTCCTTTGAAACTGGCAGGAGATACACTCTGCTAGCGGAAAGAGCAGACTTCTCTTATTCCTTCGACAACTAAGAACAAGACAGGTGTTTATCAGAGAGGCTCAGTCCAATGACCATGATGCCAGAGCAGTCACTGACTGTCCCCCATCATCTCCCATTCTCACAGAGTCATGGGAACACCTCACAGACAAATGATGTGAGATTCTGACTTGTGTTTGCAATGTTTCCAGGTGGTAGCTGATACCAAACATTTTTTTTTGCCAGTGCTGTGGAGTCTGTTGTATCATAATAGAAAGGACTAAAAAATCCCTTTGTAATGCTGGATTGCAAAGAACATCCTTTTTCACATTCCATTTGTTCATTCAATGAAAATTCGTTGACTAGGCACCATGCTAGGTGCTAGAGATACAGGACAGTGTGGTTGGGAAATTGCCATGGAATAATTACATCATGTGGTGATGCGTTTCTGGCTGGGGTAGTTAGAGTTGGAATACATCCTCCATATCTGTGTCCTCTTACTTGGCAATTGTAGAGGGCATGTATCCCAGAGAATATAGCCACAAGGTGGTGGAGACTCTGGTAGCTTGACCTCTGTAGAACACATTTTCCACCCCCCTCCACCCTGCTTCTGGTCAGCATTCAGCAATGTGAAGGTAATGGAAGTAAGAAATAGCAGTTCTTTACCTCAATACATTTCTCTGGCAAATATTTAACGAATAAGCAAGATCTTCGTCCTCAATCAGCTTAAATTCCAGCTAATTGGACACAATGGTCACACAATGTAGAAACTCCTAACCTGGGGCAGAGGTTTTATTGTAAAGGGCCTGCAATAATGCACCAAACATAGCCTGGACAAATGATATCCTTACACATATTCATGCTTCTATAACATAGGAGATGTTGTAATTAATAAAACACAAACTTATGTAAAATTTACTAAATTTATTGTCTTTTTATCATTTTGAATTTTATTTTTGCCTGTGTGATTGTTTTATTCCATGGCTTTCCCCACCAGGATGTAGGCTCCACGAATCTGCTATTATACTCCATCAAGTCTCTGGGCACTCAAAGAACGTTTGTTAATGTTGATTAAGTATATTTTCTCAACCAACAGGTTGAGGAATTACAAATATCATGTGCTGCCCCTTGAAACTTTATAATGTTAAAAAGGTGCCCTCCTTTGGGTTGAGGTTGAGACTCTGAGTGTGGGTCAATAAATGAAAGATAAATAAGATACAGAAAAAAGACTCAGATTAGAAGGGGCAGGGGACAAAGACTTAAAACTGATGGGTTAGAGATAATTAGCTATAGAATGTCACCTCTGCCTTCATCTTTCATTGTCTTGTACTGCTCCATACTTTTTATGTTTCCATAAATTCTGTTGCCTGACAAATATTGTCTAATATGAACTTTACATTAACATGCCAGGTGAGAACTGAGGCAGAATGGCTGCTGCCTGGTTCTTTCCTCTTCACACTTTACAAAGATGCTTTTGCTTTGAAGGATAGAGCCAGAAAAAGGGAGCATGTCCTACCAGAGTCATTTTACACGGAGGACCCAGAATTCCCCAAAGTGAAGTTTCCTGTCCAAGGCCCTATAGCCAGATAGTGGCAGAGGCAGGACTAGAATCTAGTGTGATTCAGACTCTTTCCGCTACACTTTGCTGTCTCTTTGTTGGGGTTAGGTTCGTCATTACTCAAATGTCTGATATGGGAGGAAAATGTGATACAACTTATAAATGAATGAAGTGTGGATCTGAATTTATAGTTTATGTCATCGGCCTTCTGTTTTCACTCAGTCTTTCGAAATATATGCTCCACCAAGCTAACAGCAGCTGAAGAGTCAGCCAAAAATACAACTTTGATTGTACATTTGATGGTAACATTTATCTAATTCTATGGAAGATCATAATCTTTAAGCTAGCATGTATTTATCCTATTAATTCATTATAAATATGCTACTCACCTTAATAAGAGTGAGTAAATACATTCTCTCTTCATCATTTGGGCATTCTTTCTATACAAGAATTCCCTTCCAAAGCCAGTATCAATGCTAATTCTGCATTAAGAAAGATAAAGACATAAAACACCATGTTACAATAAATATCTGGCTAGCCACAGAGATACTATTTTAAAGGAAATTGTCTCAAGACATTTTAATGCTTTCTATTGCTCTGGTTGCAGAATTACTTGAAGGGACATTGCTAAGGGGACCTCTATTACATCTATTAGTGAGATTTATAAGAACACTAATTGGTAAATCCAAACCTAACTCCATCAATAGTGATGCAAATTAATGCAACTCTTACTATTGAACTTGGGGATATAAATATTTAGGCAAGTTGTCTGTTAAAATAAACACAGACGTCTGCATGTTCTGAATGTATGTGCAAAAGAACATGATATATATATTGCCATCATGATAAAAAGCAAACTATCATGGGAGTGAATATGCTCGTCTCAGTTAAACATACTACCTCTAGTGACACGTGTGCTCTTATTGTTGGAGAAGTGTGTACGAACAACTGGAGATTTTTAAGGACAGGCAGTTCAAATATTTTCCAACAACTTTCAATGCCAGTGACCCATAGTCTTTGTCATCAGCCTGAGTACTTGGAAGACCAGCTGCTGAGTTCAGAGGAGCATCAGTCATTTGGCAAAGAGTGAGCAAATTAAAAAATGGTACTGGAGAACAGCTCAGGCATGGAGAAACTGGAAAAGTGTAACATGGCAGCATGATTAATTAACATTCAGAGATGTCTGGAGGGGGGAAGAAATCTATGTAGGTGGAAGTAAATGTGAGTCCATGCTATAAAAGTACGTGATCACAACACTGAATATTTTAGTAAACTTTGCCATCAGATGATTTAAGAAATCTAAGTCATTTCAAAATATTTTTTTATGAATGCCCTACTTTGTAGCTCTCCTTGAAGATTCTGCTTGATAAACAAGATTGTTTCATGATTAAGTCTCTGTCATCCTCAAACATGAAAATTCATTTAGATGAAAATGAACACAAACCTGATCTTTAATTCCATTGTCACGTCGAAGTTTTGAGGTGTTTATTTTAAAGATTTTATTTATTTATTTATTTATTTATTTATTTATTTATTTATTTATTTATTTTTTTAGAGAGTGTGTGAGTGCATGCACACACGCAGGGAGAGTGGCACAGGAGGAAGAAAGAGAATCTCAGACAGACTACTCCAAGCACAGAGCCCAACATGGGCTCCATCCCATGACCTTGAGACCCTGACCTGAACCCAAATCAAGAGTTGGACGCTCGCCCGACAGCTACCCAGGCTGAGATGTTTATTTTAAATACACATTCTGTTGCACTATGTGGCCTCAAAGAGCTAACACATTTTTCCAAGTCAGAATAATTAGGAGAATATACTATATTTTCCAGGTTTATTAAAGAACCGAGTTCATTCATTATGTGCCTTTAAGAATTCTAAAATTATTGAATAGCTTATTTTTTTCTCTATGGATTATTTTAAATAATTTAAAAATCCTAGTTCATGTTATTATTAAGATGTGGTTCATGTTTAATGCCTTGGACTGTGTTTTGCCTCCAATTGCCCAATCTCAGATGGCATTTTGCTTTCAAAGGTAGCCATTGGTCTTGATGCTGTGTGTGAGCATACTCAAGAAAAGCCATGTTGGACTTGCAAATAAACACTCTTAAATAATCACTTGATCTGTGATCATTTTATATGTGTGTCTGTATGTTTTTTATATGCAACCATTACTTCCTTTTTATTTTATGTATTTTAAATCTCTTGACTTTATCATCTCCTTTCTGTTTCTTCTGAAAATGTCTTGTTTTATCTAAATGTTCCATCAAGGGTATCTTGCTTTAGAGATGCAATCTAGCTAATATTGTATGTACATAATATTATATGTACTTCTGCCTCAGAGAGTTTCCAACCCAGGAAAGGCATCTTTTTCTCGTGACAATAACCCTTGTAATTCCAAGCCATAAATATCTGGCTTGCAGATATTTATGAATTTAGTCAAACTGCCTAAATGTTAGAAAGAGACCTGAGAAAATGAAGGATAGCTAACCAGTTAAATCTTTTCTTACCCTTAGATTTTCCACACTTAATAATCACCACTGTCAGTTTAAGTAAATTTCACTGCAAAATGGATTACAAAGAAGTAACTTTTATGTCTTTCTCCAGAGTTCTTTCAAAGTATGTCTTTTTAGTTTTAAAAATATATACATCGTGCAGAAACAGCAGCAGCAGTTCCAAACCAGAAAAAATTATGGTAAAGGAATAATGAGATATAGTGAAAGAATCCCAAATCAGTACCAGACGCTGAACAATTAGGTTCAACTGCTAACAGGTGTGTGGAAGAGCCCATGTACAATGTTACCCTCTGTCAATGTGCCTTCCAAAAGGACTCTTGGTTGTTAAATTTCCAGTATGTGTGTGTGTGTGTGTGTGTGTGTGTGAGAGAGAGAGAGACAGACAGAGAGAGATTATCCATTTAAGATAAAGCTTGCTTTCTTTATTGACCTCTTTTTTTTACATTGAATAGAAATTAAATATCCATATCATATAGGTCATGGAGCTATATGGGGATGGAAGGGATTGGTGGCCTGTGGTCCTTGGTTCTGCAGGTTTGCAAGGAGGGCTCCTGGGATGATAAATCCTTCAAAATACATGCTAAAAATCTTTTGTGTCAAATCTTGGATGGGGTTTCAAAGTTTTCATCAGCTTTCAAAAGAGTGTGTGATTCCCCTCCTCCAGCTTAAACTGGTGTGGTCAAAAATGTAAGAACTTTTAAGTTAATCAGCCCAACGTCAGAATCTCTGCATATTACTTGACCTTTCTGAACACACTTTTTCATTTATAAAATGAGGATGGTGCCACTGACCTCTTTCACTTATTTGGTTATTTAAAACGGTGTTCTTGGGGGATCCCTGGGTGGCTGCCTTTGGCCCAGGGTGTGATCCTGGAGTCCTGGGATCAAGTCCCGCGTGGGGCTCCCGGCATGGAGCCTGCTTCTCCCTCCTCCTGTGTCTCTGCCTCTCCCTCTCTGTCTATCATAAATAAATAAATCTTAAAAAAAATAAATAAAACGGTGTTCTTCAAACTGGGGAGTGCATATTCACCACGTGGGGGCTTCTTAAAATGAGCTTTGTTTCAGTAGGCTTGGGGTGGCATATGAAATTCTGTATGTCCAAGGAGCTCCTAGATGATGTTGATGCTATTGGTCTGCATACCACACTTTATGTCGTAAGGATTTCAAGCACTGGTTCTTCAATTTGACTGCACAGTGGAATCACTTGGGAAGTTGAAAAAACAAATAAACAATGATATCTGGGCTCTACCCCCAACACTTCTGATTAATTGGCATGGGGTGTGGCTAGAACATTAGGAATTTTTTTTAAAGCTTCCCAGATGCTTGGAATGTGCAGTGAAGTTTGAGAATCACTGATTGAAAACACAGTGACTGACTCATGTTACATGCTCTACAGTCTTTATCTTCCTTATGAAGATCCTCAATTATTGGGGTAGGGTAATGAAAAATAAAACACTGATGTATTCTTTTCAGTGGTAAAAGAACTGAAAAGATGGCTAGTGACTAGGGAAGTTGAATCTCATTCTGCAATAGATTTGCTCTGAGACCAGAGGTGTGGTTTCTTATCGTTTCTGTGTTTCTTATATTTAAACAACTGGGAGGAAAGGGATAATTATACTTAAGCCTCACATATTTGTTAAGAAAGTTAATGTTTATAAAATACTTTGAGACTCATGGATGAAAGGGTATTCAAGACATTTAAAATATACAAAGGAAAAGATGGATACCCCTTAAAAATTTTCAGCAATTTGCTCAAAACAAGGACAGAAAAGTGTCAGAGTGATAAGGAAGAAGGGTGGTGGTGAAAGGGATGTTGACATTGGCATGTTTTCTTCAGATATTTGGAGAAGCAGCACAAAAAGGTTTATATTGGTTCATTTTACTGATCCTGATAATTTTTAAAGGTTTCTTTTCTAGGGGAGCCTAAATTTTAACTCAAAATCTAGGTTTCTGAAGTCTTCTTATCCAGGCCCAGGCTGTGGAGAGCCACCTTTGACTAAGCTGTTGTTATTACCAATCCTTGCCAGAAAGAACTCCCAGCCTCTCATAAGAGACCCTTTGGGAGTACTTTAAGCAAATGCTTTGAAATTTGTAAGTGTTGATCTCATTTATGAGTGTCCAAATTCCTTAAGAGTGAAGTTCTTTGCCATTACTGTAAAACATCAAATATTTGGAAAGGCCATTTATTGAGGCAGGGTCCAGCATGGTGTGCGTAAAAGGGAGTGAGCTCCTCTGTGCACTGGACTCAAGTTGATGGAATGTAGAGATAGAAATGCCAGGCCAGACATCTTCTACTCCCCCTCCAGATCAAGTCTCCACTCTGCTTTACCCTACTCTTAGACATGGAGGCTGACCTACATGGGTTCCATGAGTGGTTCCCTTGTCTTCTGGCCTTAGGATGGATTTGGTCAATGCAGTGTCCCTACAGAAGAAACAGGCAGAAAGGAGAGAAAGTGGGAGTTTTTATTTCTCTGGTTCTGTTCCTGATTATCCCCTTGGGCTGACTGCACTCCTTGACTAAAAGCCACAGCTTCTGTCAAGGTGGGCCTCTCTGTAGGGCACTCTCCTTCTTGGTTCTAGTATCTTTCCCTTTACCTACTCCTTAAGATCTCTGAAGGTCTAATAATAGCTGTTTATTACTGAACTAGAATATTGCATTATTCCTTCTAGCTTCCCTTCATTCTGCCCATGATTTTGTAAATAGCCCTCTATTAAACCTTCCTTAGATTATTCTTATTTGGCACAAATAGAAATACTGTGAGACTAGGGACCTCGTCTCTCTCATTTGCTGTTGTATATTCATTGGTATTTCCTGAAGGAGCAAATAAATAAAATGTCTGAGCCTCTTCTTCATTGGCTGCATTAGTACCCTTGACTTAAGGGTATTGATTAGTTATCAAGGGAGCAGCTCTGTGAGCAATGTTAGTTTCCCTGTGGTTAAATTTATCTAAGAATTAAGACCCATATACAGAACTTCTCCATGTTCCTTTTGCTTAAATTTATTTTTAAATTCCAAAAGCTATGTGGAGTTTTGAAAATATGCTACAGGAATTATACTAAAACAAATGCTTGTTTTTAACATTCCTCTCACATACTTAATTCAGTAGGTTGCCCTCAGACAGAAGCAGAACCTGCAGCACAAATGTTAAGTAGCATCATTCAGTAGGCAGTGGGGTCACATCTCCTAAACCCCATTCTTCTTAGTTGCCCTTTCAGCTTCTCCACCTCTTACTTTTTCTCTCCTTTAGCAATAAAAGTTTTATTCACACTCTGAGATGATGATTGGCATGCTTCATAATACCCATCTTGAGATTAAAAAAAGTCTCTTTGGGTGTTCGAATTGAGTTTTCATTTGCTCAAGTTAACCCGTAACTTTCTTTCCAAGTTTTTCTAAGGAGCAGCCTAAGCAAGTTTGTAAGTCAGGGCTCCTCCAAAGGAGCTTTGATGCACTCATGGGGTCAGCTCTCTGTGACTGCTAGATTTTGGACAGCCCCCTCTCTGTTGCTGCTTGCCTCCTCCAGCACTTCCTTACTGTTGTCACCACAAATATTTCTGTTGTCCATTGCTGGAACCTTGTCTTGGGTGATTCTGACATTTGAAGATAAACACAGTTCACTGGATGATGGTGTGTGCCAAATTCATATGTTGAAGGCCTAACCCTCAGTACCTCAGAATATGATTGTATTTTGAGACAGGGCCACTGAAGTGGTAATTAAGGTAAAGTGAGGTTGTATGGGTAGACCCTAAACCAGTGACCGGTGTCTTTATATAAGAAGAGGATATTGGGGGGATGGCTCAGTTGGTTGAGCATCTGCCTTTGGCTCAGGTCATGATCCCAGGGTCCTGGGCTCCCTGCTCAGCAGAGAGTCTGCTTCTCCCTCTCCCTCTGCCTGCCACTCTGCCTACTTGTGCTCTCTCTCTCTGTCAAATAAATAGATTTTTAAAATCTTAAAAAAAAAAAAAAGATTGGGACATAGATGTGCACAAAGACCATGTGAGAACAGAGAAGACAGCCATCTATAAATCAAGGACAGCTGCCCCAGAAGAAACCAACCCTGCTAACATTCATCTTGGACTTAAAGCCACCAGAACTGTGAGGTAATAAATTTCTGTTGTTTAAGCCACCGAGTGTTTGGCATTTGGTCATAGCAGCCTTAGAAAATTAATACACTCACTAATCTTTAGGCCTTCATGATCAGGGATGCCTATCTTGGTCAAGTCACTAAGACTCAGATGGCACCTGCAGGAAAAATAAAGATGTAAAACCATGTTATCCTTAGGCAGAAAACATTAGAATCCAACAACTATGGGCCAGCCACTTTAGTTGAGGTAGGCAAATTTTATAAGGCACTCATATGAGCTTCTAGCATTAGACACTTGTGCCTACTCCTGACATGCCCTTTGTTCTTGGGGTGAGAACACAGATCCCTCAAGATTAAAGATACCAGTGAGGCTAGAACTTAGATATTATATTACTCTCTTGAAGATGGAGGCTTGATTCACTAAGTAGTTTTTTGCTGCTGCATTCACTAATATTATTAAGCCTCTATTTCCTGGAATCTAGATCCCAAACAGGAACAAGCCCTTCTTCCCTCAGTCCTGA